GCATGATTGCTGAAGAACCAAACTAATGCAAAAAGGACATTCTACCAGCTTCACTTAGCTTTAAATATGGCCCTTACCTTGATTTGGCTAATCTGACCACATGGATCCATCCTATGGTTACCTTGAAGCTAGACTATCATAATGCACTCTGCATGGGTTTGCCTTAAAGATAACTCAGAAACACCAGTTGGTACAGACTTCCATGGCCGAGTTACTACCGGGTGCTAAGCAGAATGCACATATTGTTCCCATTCTGCACACACTCCATTGGTTGTGCGCGTGTGTTGCTGTCAAGTCGCTTCAGCCTTATGGTGACCCTACGAAATGATGATCTTCAAAATGTCCTGCTGTTAACAGCATTGCTCAGATCTTGCAAACTGAAGGCCATGGCTTCCTTGATTCAGTCAATCCATCTCATGTTGGGTCTTCCTCTTTTCCTGCTGCCTCCAAATTTTCCCAGCATTATTGTATTTTCCAGTGACTCCTGTTTTCTCATAACAAGAATGTAGATTGAGCTGGGGCATAACTCGAATGTAATTGTGGACTCAAATCTAATTTGATTACCCACTCCTCCACATGCAGCTGCTGTTGTGATCTTGGGTCAGTCATAAGTTCTTTCAGAGCTGTTCTCTCAAGGACAGTTCTCAAAAGAGCTTTCTCAGCCCCACCTGCCTCACAGGGTGTCTGTTCTGGGGAGGGGAACGTAAAGGGGTTGTAAACTGCTCTGAGACTCCTTCGGGTAGTGAAGGGCAGGGTATAAATCCAATCTCCTCCTCTTCCTCCGTTACAGGGTTCAATTCAGTTTTTTCCCTAACACTTCAAAGCCCCACATACCTGCTACATTCCGTCATGACAGCTGTGCTCTTCTAAGAACAAACTTATGCAGGTATCACCCTGCAAATGAATAAAATCAGCAACAGCCTGTTTATGTACATTCTCTCTGGTGCTTCACAAATTATGGGCAGGGTTACAAACCTTCAGGCCAGACCTGGATATCTCCAGGAATTACAAATGATCTGCAGACTACAGAGATCTGTTCCCTTTAGAAGTGGCTGCTTTGGAGGGTGAGCTCTATGGTATTATACCTCACTGAGGTCCCCTCCCTAAACCCCAAGCTCCACCCCCAAAGCTCCAGAAATCTTCGAACCCAGAGTTGGCAACCCTAATATGGAACAGCCTGCCAGAGGCTAACAGAAAGTCCCCCCCCCTTCTTCTTTTTTTGCATAATATGCAAGGTTTATTTTACATCTCACCCTATTGTCACTGCAATTCAGTTTCTTCTACTTAATTTGTAACCCTCTCTTCTGTCTGGTATCTGAAACTGTAGACCGTTTTGTTGCCTTAGTTTTTTGTTTACTTGATTTGCCTTCCAGTTCTTCAACCCTAACTCCACTGCACTGTCTTTTTAACCAGAAATATTTCCTGTATCATAATTTGTAACCCGCCAGCCATTTGAATTGTTTTTATCATGTTTTGGAATTCACCTTCAGTCTCAGTGAGAAAGAAAGGTGGTCTATAAATAATAGACAAATATATGTCAACTAGGCAGACCTCTGATCACAAACATACCCAGAACGAACAACCATCCTATTCTTCTGTACAAGGCAGAAAGGCCCCGTACAGGCTGAGGGTGGGAATCTTCTATCCAAACTGGCCAGTCACTACAATGGCAGAAGAAAAGCAGCCTTAACAGGTAACTAGGATTTGAGGGAGCGATTAAGGTCCACTTCCCCACGGCTCCTTAAAAAAAGAGTTACCTCTTCTCTGAAACAAAAAGAGCTTTATCATTTTGTTTCAGAAAGTCGAGTCCACCATCTACTGGCCATTATTAAATATAGCATTTTGCAACAACTTTTAAAGTTTGCATTTTCTACTATGAATAAGAACAGATATAATCAAGAGTATTTGAGAACTCTCAGAACAGTATCTCACCCTGTACTTCCTATATTTTATGGGCCTTTGACCTTGCTGTTTAGTTTTTTCTTTTTCTTTATAAACTCTCAGCCTAACCCACCTGACAGGATTGTTGCAAAAATAAAAATGGAGAACAATGTATGATGCTTTGGATCCCCACGGGGATAAAGGTGGAATATAAATGAAATATCATAAAAATAATCTGCCTAGCGAAGACACAGTACGTGTGTCTTTATGCTGTAATAAAAACCTTGTTAAGTCTTTAAGGTGCCATAAGACTCCTTTTTCTGCAACAGACTGACATTACTACTCCTCTGGAAATATTACCATGTTCTTATAGGACTGTTTCCATACAATTTTTGTTTTATTGCATTTGGGCTCCCAACCATCCCGCAGGGTTTTATATCCATTTTTTTAACTAAAGAGAAAACTAGAGATAAGAAATAGTGCCACCCAAGACCACACAGTTAGTGCCTGAGGTCCAGCTCTTTAATCCCAAAGCCACACTTTAAAACATTTTTTATATTCCTAGTCTTACTTTCACAGAAATAAGTAACTACTGACGTCTCATTCTCTTTTAACAAGATACAATTAATTGTCATGACATCCAGTTGCAGCCTAGTCCTCTCCCCACTTCAAACAGTTCTCAAACTCATGTGCTGCAAAAGTTTGCAAAGTTGTGGTGACCAAGACAGCTTGCCAGCAGACACACAAGTGCCTACACATAACACATGCACTGGGAACAACAGCAGCTCTACAGCATTGTTCAAGTTCTCTAGAACGTTATTGATTTGCCCATAGCTCCAACTTCAGGTGGTCATGGACTGATTTATAGATTTCTCATTGCTTTATTATTTCTCATTGCTTTATTAGTTCTCTAGTTTCCTGTATGTCTGAGGTCAAAATCCACCATCTTGTGATATTTTCTCAGTCAAGCGATCCTTGCGTAAGTATTGTAACCTTTACTTTGATTTGCTGCTCTTCTGATTTCTCAAGTCTTTGCTAACAGGGCATGGGGTAAATGTTTTATTTCTTGTGTTGCAAAGTAGCATGCCTTTTGTTCACTTCTGTTCCAGCACATTCCACCCACAGGAACTGTGTTCATCCATGCTGCTGGAAGATATCCCAAAGTTCTTACCTGCTATCTAAATAACCTTTGAACAGCGGCACCCCAGGAAGGAGTGGAGTAGGGACCTATGTTGGCAAAGTTTCACTTTGCAACAGGACTTGGATTTCATTTCTGAAGTCTTCCAGTTCACAGGGAGTCTTGTGCAATCTGCTGCCAGCCAGAATTAGAGGAGTAGCAGGAGGGGGGAGAGTGCTGCTGTGGGTAACAGCAGCATCAGGCTTCTGATGTTGTCTGCTACAGAGCTTACTCCATCGCTTGGGAAGCCCATTCTGGAATCACTGAAAAGAGAATTGATATACTGCTTTTTAAAGTGGGGCCCCTTCCTCACTTTAACCCCTCCTACCTGCTGTGAAGAGTGCAAGACTTGAGGCCTATGAAGGGACTGTCAAGATAAATGTATGACTAAGGCTGAAGAAGGGCTATTAGGATGGCACTTTTTGAAATACATCAATGAAAGCCACTATTGAATTCACCCAGCTCCAGGAGAGGATTTGGGAGAAACAGTCTGCAAAACTGTCATCCATGTGAAATTATTCTGCAATCCAGGATCAATTATAACAGGGTGTGTCAGCACACCTCTATGTGGCGTTCTGTCCCAGATGACGAATATTCTGGGGGAAATCTGTTGGAAATCCATCCTTGTAGGAAAATTGAGTGCTCTCCTCATTTTTGTTGTGTCAGCCCCCAAGAAGAATAAGTATTCCTCTCACTCAGAAACACAAACAAAAACAGGTTTATTTAAATAATCTTTAATGATCATGCTTGTGCTTGATAGGATTTCTAACATCACATTTCAGCAGAGACGAGCATCGAGGTCATCCAGACTACAGAGAAATATCTGAATGATAGGAGGAGGATGCTTGACTGCCAGGGGAATACAAGTCTCATCTCCAAATGACAACAAAGCAAAACTAATAGGGGAGCCGGGCAGGTCATGGCAAGGAAGGAGGAAGGGAGGACAACCAAATGGGAACCCCCCACCCCACCATTCCTGCACAAGCCTCCCACTCTCTGTCCCCACACTGAAACCGTGCATTTTCACAGAACTCCATGCTTTGGGCCAACACATTGTGGTTTTGAGCCTCAAGGTATCAGTTCTGTCCAAAAGCAAGACAAGCCGTCTCCACTTCAGATGCTCTTGGTATTCTGCAAAGGCCAAGAAAGGCATGGATGCCGGGAGAAAACGATTCTCTTTCTAGGCCATGGGGGGTGCTAGACATACAAACAATAATAGTGCACACTCTCGTTCAGACACACACAGAGAGTGACTCAAAGTACAGAAAGTACTGGTTTCAAAGGGAGAATCACCAGGAAGTCCTACTCAGACTTGGCACATACCATGCACTATGCTAGGCAAGGCACTGACTACAACATGGATCCTCAGACTTTCGTCTGGAGCAGCCTACACTTAGGGCACTGTAAGTATCAATCTCCCTGCCACTTCCCTGGAAGCATTCCTCACCTACTGCTGCAGCTTATGTAGCATTCCAACAGTCTCTTTCCAATGAATTTGAAGTTCTTTCAGTTGCAATGACAGAACAGCCTGGCAGCAAATGGGAAGCTGCACTTGGGAACATGCAAAATCCATCTAGGAGCCTGAAGAGAGGAAATAAGGTTGGAGATTTGTCTCCTACTACAGGAGGATATGTTTATAAGGAAACCTCTGCTTTGACCGGCTGCACAAAAGCTGTGAAGGAACTGACAGAGGCCCAATATCCTAAGTGCACTGTCCTGTCCCCTGATGAGGCTCAAAAGCCATGTGCTGGCGAGGCACCTGGCCAGGAGCATATGATGGCATCTCTCCGCAGACCCTTCAGACCTCGAAAGACAGAGCTGGGAAAGGCACAGATCCCCATTCTTCTCTGCCTTTTTATGCATTTCCAGTTGGACCCATGTGGCTTCAGAGGAAGGCAGAAGTCACTATGTCGTCTTCCAGAGATTCATTACCTGCCGGTCCACCCTCCACCACAGGCTTTGTGCTCGTTCCCAGAACAGCAGCTATTTTACTGGTAAGAAAACTGAAGCACTTTATGGCTTTTCTTCTTGCCAGGTAAAGAACCCTACGCGAAGTAGACAGGGGCAGAGCCAGAAAGAGACAGATTCTCCCTAACCAATTAGAGGGGAGAAGGATGTAGGTTCATATGGTACATCCAAGCATGTGGTAAGTATGTCCCCTCCTGACAGTGTACTGGGAGCTAAACATTCTCCCTTGTTACCAGCCCAAGGCAGCTGAGAAGCAACCAACTTTTGAGAAAGGGGACTGGGATGCTGTGTGAGCACCCCACACAGGGTGCACATCTCAGGCACTAAGAATAAGGCAAGGGCCATTTCCTCTTGAATTCCCATGTTGGGCAAGGTTCTCAGCTCTGACGCTATCCCCTCTGGAACAGCCTTATTTGTCCAGTGCCAAAACCATCATCAGCTGCCCCTTGTTACAACTTTAAAAACATGCAACCCCTTCTCCTGATACATAGTAGTAGAAAGGGACAGAGAGATGCACAAAAGAGACACAAAAAGTTTAAAAGTGCCTGTGTGTGGCACACTAGCTCCTCTCTGCTATCAGGCAGGTCTACTCCAACACACCAGAGTCTGCTTCCTAAGACAGAGGTTCAAGGCTGTATACTTTCCCTGAGCCAAGAAGAGACTGGTGTCAAAATATTCTGGCTTTACAAGGAAAGACAAAAGGTTTTGCTTTTCAGCTCTGCTTCAGACTGGACCCTTAATACTGAAATGCAGAGGCTACTGCTTCTCAGCAACCGTGGTGGCATGCTGCCTATGCTGGTAGGGCTGTTTCTGCTTAACAGGATCCTTCAAGGGCCCCTGTGAAGTCACAGCTAGCAACAGCCAAAAAAAAAGAATATTACATGGAAACCAGTTTGAGGTAGCAGGGGACACCAAAACCATTGTTTGCACATGCTGTGCCCATCAGCTCCACCACCATATCTTTCCCCCAGGCAGGGCATACAGACTAAGAACAAATGACAGCAGTCCATTCTAAATAGAATAAACGCTATTGCTTCATTCTGCCTTGGTGCAACCAGCTAGGGCCGTCAAAGTTTGATCAGCCACCCTCAGCTACATACTTGTTCCTAGCTCTCCAGCCTCTGCAGCCAGCCTGTGTTGACCAACAGCACCGCTAGAGCTCCAATCCAGTGTGCAGGATGCTCCCTATCCCCCTTCCTAAGCATCATTCTAGTCATGATCCAAAATGCTCCAGCAGGTTACCAAGTGCAAATAAAACAGAAATCCCTTTCCAAGAGATACAGAAGGTAACACTATGCTTGGAGGAGGGGACACAATCAGGAAATTAAAAAGCTCTATGGGGCAGGGAGGTAGCCAGGGTCCCTTCATGCTCTGGGACAGCCCCATCTTGGAAGGCCAGAGAGGGGGTGAGTGGGAGACTGTAAACCAGCATCCTTTAGCGAGTATTCAGGCTGGAGCTCATGGTCAGAGAGTCTTCCTCCTGGATAGTCTCCAGTTCTTCTGTCTGCACAGCCTGTGTAATGAGGGTCAGCTCCTGGCACAGGGTCTCAAAGCGGTAGGCCACCCGGATGTCTGGCACATTGGTGCGCCGGATATCGTTGCCTTCAGGCCCCTCCTTCCAGTAGTTGGGTCCCAACCAGTACTTCTTTACCTGGGAAACAAAGACAAAAACCAATCCATGGCCAGGACATATGACTACCTGCATTTCTAGCTGAACCATTCCAACTGTAAGAGCGCTCATGAAGCCCTTGAATATGTGTGTGCTGTTTTTAAAGCCAGTATTAATGTGTTTGCTTGCTTGCCTCCTGCCTTGGGGATGCTAAGCTGGGTGGAAAGATGGTATAAAAATGTTTTAAATAAAACAAAAAGGCCCAGCACCAGGTATCTCTCTTCCATGCATTTGAGCAATCCTTTTTTTCACCATTTTCTCTTTAAAACAGTTATTTGGATGCTCTGTGGCTGTCAAGCACAAGAACAAACATCTGCCTCTTTTTTCTTTCGTTGTTTAAAAGAAGGCATCGATGCCATCTCCCTGCAGCAAATGTGGGAACAAGATATTCCCCACAGGTACTCTGGAGAACATCCAGCATTCTGCCTTTGGGGTTCGCTGGGAAAGGCCTTAGAAAACACTTTTGGAGGTGGGCACAGAGCTGAATTTGAATTATATTTCTATTGACCGTGCATTTCTGGAGTCATGCAGCATTACTACAGCTGAAGCCCTCTGAAATTAATGAACTTATACTGGAGTAACTCTGCATGGGATCACATTGATAATGTGTCTTGTGGGTTTAGAGCACGCACAACCTCTGGCCTGCATCCGCCAAGTTTATACTTCTCCCACCTTCCTGGACTCTTCTGGAGTTCACGGTCACATGCAAGCTCAGTTTCCTTGCTCCCAAGGATCTTTCTGGCAATGAGGGTGAAAGGATTGTATGATGGCCTTGGATCCATCCCCCCCCCCAATATTTTAACAAGTTCTAAGTTGTCATTTTATAAATCTAGAAGTGTGCTGAAGGACATAAAAGACTCACATTCATATGCATACAACAGCTTTAAATACAATAATGTTCTAAAAAAAACCAATAATGTTCTGAAGCTGGAGATTTCAGGGAAGGGGCATAAAACTACACAGGTCCCTCACACTCTGAGCCAATGTTCCCTCTAAGCTGAGTTAGTGTGAGCTAGCTCAGTTTTTTAGCCTCCGGCTCACACATTTTTGTCTTAGCTCAGAAAGGATGGCTCCAAAGCAAACTAACTTATGCAGTAGCCAAATCGGTTGCTCACAACTTTAATGCCAGTAGCTCACAAAGTTGAATTTTTGCTCACAAGACTCCACAGCTTAGAGGGATCATTGCTCTGAGCTGAAGAATGTTAAGGTGGAGAAGGAAGACAGGTAACAGTATAGCCAGTGAGAGGTCAAGGCATGACCCCCCCCACACACACACAAACATTTCAGAAAAGGTCCAGTTTTACCCTGTGGGAGAAGCCACTCATGAGCACGCTGTTTCTCGCAAGTTCACACATGTCACAGGAGCTGAGCTTCCACACCTGGGTGGCAATGCTGTACTCTTCCATCAGGGGCTCCTATAAGAGACACTGTCATGGTCTACTGCAGGTACATGTATACAGAGCACTAGCTGGCAGCAAAACGGGTCCCTAAACTGAGTTCAGGAATATCACTGCACAAGCATGCACTGGGGGTAAGCGGTACAGGCTGAGTGGGAGAAACCCATCTGCACCACCTGTGATTTCTCTTCACTAGATATGCTGAGAGAACACTTAAGGGGCTAACATAGCTGTAAGACATGAACAATCAAAAAACAGGGGGGGGGCTGCAAGAAACTGGGGGGAAGCACCACTTCCACCCCCTCCCAGGCCCATCATTTGCCTTCTTTTTCTCCCTGGTGGGGGCTGGGATGCCAAATGGAGAAGACAGAAGAAAGCAGTACCCCCTCCTCCCAGCCCCTGCTGCTTGCCCACCTTCTCTCCTGTGCAGGGTTTGGGGGAGGCGGGAGAAAGCAGCAACACCATCTGCTCCTCCTCCTCCCAGCCACTGCACGGCCCTCCCAGCTTGTTCTCCGTCTTTCTCATGCAGTGATGGCTGCCGCTGCCACCTGCCGTCTTCCCTTCCCACTTGCTAGTTCTCTCCCCTCCTACCCACCTGACTTCTTCTCTGCGCTGCCTCACCACCACCCGTGGTCACCTTTACTGCTGCTCACCCTCACTATAGGGATGCACATTTGGATCTATCTGGTTCTAGTATCTATCCAGAGCAATATTTGGGATCTGGATCCAAGTAGGTACCAGCTGGCAACCTGATGTATTCCACTCCTCACTAACCGGTAATTTAAAAAAACTGATCCCAACTCTTTGTTTTACTTCCTACCCCAGACAGCAACCCCATACACCATGGATGCTCTGAAAAAGGTCAGGTGTTCACATGATCAGCCAATTTGCACTGCAGTGACAGAACAAGAGGCTCTGAGCTCTCTTCCATAAGGTATCATATTAACTCCCTACACTGATACAGATTTCAAATGAAGTTAGCCAGTTTACAGAAGGCCATGGCAAACCAAGAACATGCATTCTCCCCTTTATTGTTTTCCTTAAACTCTACATTCCTAAGCCATTTGGTTCTAGAAGTACGTTTTGCTTATAATGCCTAGAATAGTTCTGCAATTCCAGAGGCTGGCAGGGGAATGAGGAACCACTCCTCTCTCCCTTGCCACTACTCCCTGGCCTTTAGATAGCATGTCCCAAAGCCAAACTTCCAAATTCTTACATTCCTGGCTACACACACAACTCGCGCTTTATCTCTCTACCAGATTCTCATATGCCTGTGCAGGATCTTGCAGGTGACCCGTTCCCTTGCGGGTTACAGCCTTGCTTGGCCACGGCTACCATCACACTCACCTTGGTGAAGTGGAACTGCAGGGGGTCATCTGTGGACAGGGAGACCACAAGGCCCCGCGAGAGGTACTCTGGCAGCGGATTACGGTGGTAGCTCAAGAACAGGCTGTTATTACTAAGAGGAGACATGGCAATGCCAATCTGAGCCAGGTAGTAGAGGTACTGCAGCACAGGTGCCTATGGGCAAAGTTGGGGTTAGTAACTCCTGCAAACGCTTGGTACAAAGGAAATAGCAACAAAAACACTGATCATCTCTCCTCTACCATGTCCAAAAGGAATAGAAATATCTTGGGGATATAGCATTACCTCTAACACGTGGTCAAAGTATTCTGGTCAAGGACTCATAACACACTTGCTGCTGTGCACATTTGTCTAGATTCCTGCCAGATACCTAGCATCAGAACCATCCCAGTTCCTTCTGTAATGAAAGAAACCACCTAGCCCCTCCTCCTGCAAAATCCAGCAGATTTCCATGCATGTGGACGTGCGTGCACAACTTATGTATGCACATGTGCTACTATTCACTTCTCTCTCACCTTGCGGAGCAGGAGGCCATGCGATATGTTCTCTGACAGCATGAAACCCGATACCAGATGATGGATGGGTCCTGCCTCCCCACAGTGGGGGCGCAGCACGAAAGTATGGAAGCCTCTCTTCCTATAGAGAAAGGGCAGCAAAGGACACAGCTCAGTGTCACTGTACAGGAGTATAAAATTAACTGTATGGATAAACAGAGATCAGAGTCTCAACAGCAAATGTAAAATTAATGCAGAACCCAGGAGCAGCCAGACATGGAGGGTCCCGGGCTTCAAGATGTCTGATGTGCCACTGTGCGACACTATCACCAGGCTTCTAAAGAGTCTGGGCTCAAGAAGTCATCGCTCAGAGCCCAGACCACAGTGCCACTCTGGTGTCTTGGAAAAACAAGAAACTGAGGAAGGAAGCTATGGGGAGAGCTCATCACCTACCTGCGCAAATGGTTGAGTACCACCATATTGGCATACGTGTAATAAAGGTAATAGGAATAGGGCGGGTTGTCCTCTTCTGTCCAGTTCCCAGGCAAGGGGCTGTCCAAGTTAAAGATGTGGTGCTCTGGCTTCGATTCATCATCCACACTGTCAAAGCCATCCACCTGCCCAGCCAGATGCCAGGGAAAGAAAGGGAAGAGGATGAGAAGGCAACATCTGTTTTCAAAGACCTCATGACTTCTCTAATCCCATGTGGGAAACGTTTTATGTTATTCCAGGTGTTACCCAAAGACTCCAGTCAGGAAGAACAGTGCAGTGAAGTCAATTATCAAAATCAAAGGGACTAAGCCAGGACAAAGAGCTGTTGCCTGAAGGTTTGGTGCTCCATCTGACCACAGATCAAGACACCCCCAAACCCTGGATAAATGCCATCCTGCCCAGTAATAGAGAACTCAACAGCCATCTCTTTGGCATTATGAGAAAAGCCAACATGTCTTGCAAGGCTTTCTACTTACGTGCTCCAAGAAGAGATGCAACTCTGGATGGCTGGCAGGATGTATAGTAGCTTCAAAGAGGGGCAAGAAAATGTTCTCTAGCATCTCTTGGAAGTTCGCCAGCTGCTTCTTGGTCTTGTACACATCACTGTTGGAAACAGATACACATCAAGACGCAGCCAATCTACTCCATTTACATCCTGGATCCTAAAGGACAGACTTATCACTGAGCTCCCTGTCAAAATCACCTGATTCCCAGGTTTCTTCAGCACCTGCATCGTTGTCTCTTTGCATTACATGATGGGTAATCATGGGCAGTGAGGCATTTCTTATACCAGGTTCTCCAAGTGAAGTAGCATAGTGACCTTGAGACCAAACTAGGCTCAGATCTCACCTATGCAAGCCACACATCAGGTGCAGACTGGCCATTTAAATTTCTGAGAAATCTCCCAGTGGGCCACTTGCTGGTGGCTAGGAGCAAGAAGATACAAACCCCAGCAATTCTGCCAATGTTCTAGCAGCCTCTTGGCTCAGAAGACCCCGCAGGAGCAAATGGCAGGTGGAGTCAGCTCACAGGAAAAGTGTGTCAGCTCACAGATTACCTCCTTTTGCACGGCTTCCAGCTGGGACCACCTCCAGCTGGTAAGCCAATGCCCACTGTCAGCCCCACTGAACCTAGTGGTTTGTGCTGGCTTGTAGCACAGCAGGGGCCACTCAGCTTGGCTTATCTTCCCTTCCCAGCCTGCTCCTGCCACATACATACCTGCTAGAGTTCAATATGTATCTTCTGTACCCTTTCGAAATAGGAGAAAGATAGAACATCTTCTTAGGTACCCATTACAGATTTCTTTTAGTGTGGACATTTTAAGACTTTCTTTACACTTGGTGATTTTATTTTTCTTCAGTATATTCCCAACATGTTTGCTTGCTGATATTAAAATGAAGAAACACTGCACAGGACAGCTGTTGATATCTAAAGCAGCCACTTGTCACCTGAATCACCCAGAACTCAAATAACACATGCCTGTCTTCCATTCACAGCCTTCTCTTTATAAATCATGGCTTATTCTATTCTCTCTGCAGCAGAAAGCTGCCTGTCTGAGCCCTCTAAACATCTCCACATATACAAACTCATCAACAAGCCTCCTTGCCTTCTCACCATAACCTGAAAAGTTGAAGAAAGCTGCTGCATGTTTTGTGTATGTTTTGTTTTGGTTATAAAAATTTCATGTATATTTTCCCCAGCAAGGGAAACAGGTATTGAGCGTGGAAATACAACTGAACAGCTAAGCTTTTGAGCATTTTGCTCTGCTAGGCTAGAGTCAAAAGCGTATGTTAACTCCAAGAAATATAGACTCAATGAAAGAAAGGGCCACAGCTGACTACTAGAGCACATGCTAAGGTCTGAGGTTTAATTTCCAGCGACTTCAATTAAAGGATCTTGAGCAGCAAGTCTGGGAAAGAGCTCTCTCTTTCTTAGCCAGTGAGAGTTGACAATACTGAGCTAGAGGCACCAGCAGTCTGATGTGGTACTAGGTAGCTTCATAGGTAAAAAGTTAACCATTCTGTAGGTTTTTCATCTGCTTGACCTTTCTCCTTGGCTGTCCAAACACACACACACACACAAAAGAAAAGGTACACACAGTTAAGAAAAGAAAAGGTACACACCCCAGGCTCGTTTTTACTTTTCATGTGTACTGGGCAGCAGCTGTATAAGCAGCCAGTATTTGTTAATCCCTTTCCTATGCTACATATTTTATTTTAGTTATTTTATTGTAGTCATTAGAGGAAAATAATATTGTAATCTTCTAAGGAGACTTCAGTTGGTGCAGAATGAGTTATTATAAGCTAGATGGAGCATGCATATTACATCCCATTCTGTGGCTACTCCTCCACTTATTGCTCGTCAGTTACTTGGCTCAATGTAAGGTACTGGCTTTCCCATACAAAGCCCTTCATGGCGTTGGACCCCCCACCCCTGCAAGACCACTCCCACCTATGCCCTGCCACGACAACTTCATTCATCTGAGAGCAGGGCCTTCTGCAAGCACCACCCTGCCGATGGGCAACTGCCTGTGCGTGTGCCTTCTCTGCAGTGACACCCCCCCCCCCATGAGTGGCCTGCCTGAGGAGGTCAGGAAGGCTCCCACACTCCTGGCATTCCACAAACGACGTAAAACAGAATTGTTCAAGAGGGCATTTTTGTAAAGGAAACAGAGCTACCTCCTAACAGATTGGCCCAGGAAAATGCACCATGTTCCTACTGATGCAATACCACGTACTGTATTGTTCAACACACCATGTTTAACATTTATACTTTGTTGAGACAACAGCTCCCTTTCAAATCTCTGTAATTCCTAGTCCTATTACATTACTTTACTGGATGTATCATCCCATTGATTGCATTGATTTACACTGCATCATCCACCTTGAATATCAGTAAGAAAAGTGGGCTATAAATAAATAATAGTTTCAGGAAAACACAGCTACAGATCAAAGCAATAATCTTTTAGATCTGTTCCAACTCTCAAAATATTGGGAAGTGGTACTCACAACAGACGAGGCACCTGCACCAGCCAGCGCACATTGTTGGAATGCACTTTGTGGCGCACAGCCCACTTGGCCAACTTGTCCCACTCATCCCGTGAACGACCATAGATGGAAAGGCGCAGTTCTGCATTCTGATACTTGCTCTCCTCCAGGTCAAACATCACCTCCTGACAGAAGAGAAAGGGTTTGTTAGCCTTAGCCACACAGCTTCTCCAGGGAGGGATAAGATCAGAAAGGAGGGCAAAAAATGCAAGCCTGTTTTCCTAGGGAACAAAAGGGAAAGACACATGTGTACTAGCAAGCTACCATAAAGCAGACAAGAACCTAAAACCATCTACCCAGAATCCTTTGTTTTGGCTTCCCACCTGGCTCTTTGACAGCCTTCCATCCCAAGGATGATGTTATCAGTTACTCTAAAGTCTAATGGAAGAAAGATGGTGGAAGGAGGAAAATCCTACAGCTTGGGAATGAAAGTCAGAGGTAAATCTGGATATACTGCATGCCCTCACATTTGCTGCATAGGTGTTTACACTAGATTTTGGAAGTCTGGGCATGCAAGCTTCTTCTTCTTCTTTTTTTTTTTTACAGAAAAGCCAGCCAACATAGTTTCAAATGCTTGTGATTATGGAGAAAGCTCTGGACACAAGGAAGACATAGGAGTAAAGAAAGGGAGTTTTTGTAAACATCTTGCCAGCTGCATAACACCTAGATGAGCTTCGGTCTCCTTTCTGTTGGCAGGTATAAAAGTGTGGGTGTGGCCAGAGGCATGAGCCCTTGGGCGTCAGCCAAAGAGCTCTTGGCCTAAGCCTGGGGCTTACAACAGCCAGCCCCTCGAATAAGGACCTGCCCGGGATGTGTTTCTTGTCTGGACTGTTTATAACATTGTTTAATTGACATTGTTTAATTTTCCTTGCTTTGAAAATTTCAGTTAACGACTTTGGGTCCTGTTGGGTAGAAAAGGGACACAGAAATGCCTTCATGAACCAATAAAGTGTCCAGTAAAAGCTGTGAACCAGGATTCTAGTCGTTCGGAAATGAAAGTATCCTGTATGGCTCTTACCTCCAGCTTCTTGACTTGACTGACTACCTAACCTGATTTTCATACCCCAGCCTCTCCTCATGCCCCCTGCATACTTTCCAAAAACAGAACAAAGAACAGCAGAAGCTATCTCTGCGTCTGCATAGCTTATTCAAAACTGTAGCTATACACAGAGCTTCCAAGCTGCCCTCACCTTGATTATGTGGGCAAAGTATTTTCCCGACACTTGATTGTCTGTCTTGATGAATATCTCACGAAGGACAGACTCTCCAATGGGGTTATATTTTGCGTTGAACTTGTCAAAACGATGGAAGGTGTTACGGTCCTGTTAAAGGAGAAGGCAGCAAATAAGTTCATCATAGTTAAATAGCTATAATTCCAACTCTCTTTACCTTCACCATTTGTAACCCTTAATCAAAGCTGATCTTGCCCAAACTTCTTTGTTCTACCATATGGCTCTGCTCAACCCTTCTCATGCAAACCTTCTCTCTGTGAAGGTCACCACAAGATGCTCTGTCCTTTGTTTCAACAAGTGGAAATGGAAACTGAATTTTTGCACTGGATGACTATGCAAGTAGTAAATATTAGTAATGTAATCACAGCTGAACAAAAAGACAGAACGAAGACAATTTTTCCTCTAAGTTTCACGTGTTGTGAGCAAAAATTCTACCTCATGATTGAAAAAAGCTAGTAGCATGAAAGTTGTGAGTACATTTTACTATCACATAAATTAGTTTCTTAGATTTTTTCCATAACCTTGTAAAAATCTCAGAATGAATTCTTTTAAGCTATATTTAAACTATATTTTAAGAATAATTTAAACATTATAAGAGAAAACAGAATCAAGTCAGATTTCATTACAGAAAATGTTGTCCTCTATGAGGGTAGACCAGGCCTTTGGAGAACAGGTCTACCTGCCCCTTTCAACTATAATGGTAGACTTGGCCGCTGGAGAAGAGGTCTACCCGCCCCAGTCCACTGTATTGGTAGACCTGGCCTTGGACCATCTCCTGCGCTGAGCCTTAGAAAACATACCAGCACTTTGGGGGGGGGGGAACACTTGCACTCTACTTTGGGTTTTTTTTTTAGTGAAATATGACAAATTTACAGGTCAGGTATAACAGGGGGAACAATCACTGTCAGAACCCTGCCTAACCTAACAAACAGGAAGTTGCTTAAATGTTATCAACCTGTCCAAACTAATTTATTCAAATATTTATATCCCACTTTTACTGTGACTCAAGACATCTTACAAATCATACTGAAAATCATAACAGGGGTGTGCAAAAAATAAAAAAAGATTGGACCAGGGGGTCCAATTCTATGGCCCCAGAAGGAGGTGCTCCCATCCTCCATTGTGACCTGAAAGCGGAAATCCCTGAGCAGCTAACTAAAACGTGTGCCAGAACCCACTAGCGCACCTTAGAGGGAACACTGAATTCAAGAACTGTCATTACACATATAAGATAGGTCTATCAGGTGAAGACTATCAGGTGACAACTATTGTCCAGCATGACATTCTGCCAAAAAGAGGTTGCCATTCAGTCTACCTTTATTCCAAAGGACTGAGAAAACATTTTGTAACCAACCAAAATCAGGAGCTTCTAATAGCCTTGCCAAAAACATACCGCATGGACATCAAGCGTGTCCACACTGAGGTCGTAGGCTGTGAGATTCATGGTCTCAAAGACCTCCTTAAGAGTTTGTTCCTTGCCCTTCTCCACATGAACGATTTCTTCCAAGTGCTTCTTCATAGCCCGCTTGATGAAGCGCAGCAGATGCTTCTGGTTCATGCAGGATGACGCGTGGATGTGTGTGTCCACCTGCATAAGAGATGGAGTTGTACAGTTGCTAAGAGGGTACAGCCAGGGAGTCCCCAGTTAAAATGTTCCTGCAGCCATGAACTTACCAGAAGGCCTTGGAGACAACCTGCCTCCTAATCTACAACAATGAGATAATATTAACTTACTGTAAGGAGCTGTTGTAAGGATTACTGAGATAACTGTTACAGGAGCACTGAAAAGTTAAAAAAGCCATATACAGGCTATTATTCAACATCTACAAGATTCTTGCTAATGTGATTGACTGGGAGATTGTTGAATGGGCAGGAAGCCTCAACAGCCTGACTCTGCAATTAAGGCACAAAAAATCAATGTATAAAAAGCCTTCAAAGATACATTGCTATAAGAAATGTAAGTCTGTGCCTCCACTCGATCTGCTTCTCTTTGCCTTGGTATTTCATAGGCCAGGCACTGTCAGAATCACAGTGGCTGAGCACCATATAACAACTGCTGGAATTTTTAATTCTGATCACATTTAGTGTAACTATAGACACCTTCCTCCAACACAGAGTACTGATACCTTCCGGATATTGTAGAAATCACGATGCGGCACCTTCTTCTGGGCTGCCAGCTCTTTCATCTCATTGAGCAGAACGTGCATCTGGAATTTTGAACTCAGGTACTGCAGCCGTCGGTAGCAGAAGGATTTTCTGTCCAGATGTGAAAAGGGAACAGGTTAAGCTTCACTCTGCTCAGCGTCTCTGATGGCAAAGCAGCCAGTACTGCTAATCAGAAAACCTATGTTCCACATCCACTGCAGCTAGCTTAGTTCAGTGCAATCAAATAATAAATGGCCTTTCCTAAGGGACTTTAGATGAATGACAACAGCTGATTCCCAAAAGCAGAAGATAGGAACTAGCAGATCAACAGTAAAAGACCATACAAAACTGCCTAGCCAGATCTAATGGTCCATCAAGCTCAACGTTCTGTTGTTAAAAATGGCCAGCCATATGCTACAGAGAAATGCAAAAGTAAAGCATATACCATCCCCATTAATTCCTGGCATCTGAGAGGTAGCACTATATACCGTGTTTCAGTTTCAACACAACATTTATACTTTCAACTCTCATGGACAGCAGACATTAGCAGATCTCTCCCTCCAGGTGTTACTATGGAAATGTGTTCTACATGACAGGTATCGGAAGCATCCTCCACCCTGCTAGAATATGAGCATGACCAGATTTAGCAGAAATGCCATCAGACGTAGGGGTCATGTAAGCCCAGCTCTTGCATATATGGATGAATGAAGTAGGGAAATCAGGATAAGGTAAGTCCAGTTCTGTAGTTCTTTAAAGAAATAAAGAAACAGACCATGTGTGACTGAAAGAATAAACACAGAGGACACCAAGCGAAGCATAAAACAAACAGCATCCAGACATGGGGCTAAGGGTTTGCTCCCTGTAGGATGCCCTGACCTGGATAGCCCAGGCTAGCCTGATCCCATCAGATCTCGGAAGCTAAGCAAGGTCAAGCCTGGCTAGTATCTGGAAGGGTGACCTCCAAGGAATACCAGGGTTGTGAAGAAGGGGCAAGCAATGGCAAACCATCTCTGAAATGTCTCTTGCCTTAAAAACAAGTCTAGTTTACAACCTAGTGGTGCATAACACTAAAAGAGCTATACATTTTGACTGCCAGACAATCTTAGGATCTCCTGGCTATTCTACTCACAATGCCATATGATAATTAACGTGTTGGATAGGTGATGCAGAGCCAAGACCAGCCCTGCCAACAGTACCAGAGAACTTTCTCTAAATAACTGGCTAGATTGGATGGGGGGAAAACTACTAGAGACAGTTTTAGCTCACTGAATACAAAATTTTGAGAGCCAGCATGGTATAGTGGCTAGAGTGTCAGATTCGGGGGACCCAAGTTCAAACCCTCATTCTGCCATGGAAGCTCACTGGGTGACTCATTCTAATCTACCTCACATGGCTGTTGTTATCATGGTACAATGGAAGAAGGAAGAATGATAGTGTAAGCCACTTTGGGGACACACTGAGGATCATCATCATCAGCTACCTTTATTGGCATCACAACAAAACATAGATCATCAAGGGATTAAGGGCACAACCTTCATTGCTGGAGTTGAAACATTCTTCTCCTCTTAATGGCACAACATAGAAATTTAGCCACCAAATCAGTGATCTCAGAGTTATGGGAAGATAGTAAAAAACCGTCTTGCAAACATCAGATTGACCCTTGCGAATTTGTAGCAGAGGTTCTAGATGTATGGCACGAATATCACAGTAAAATATACAGTGCCGGAGAACATGTTCAGTACTTCCTATTTCCCCCAGACCGCAAGAACAAAGCCTAGAGGAGTATGGCATTTTTTTAAACCTCCCGTACAGTACCGCAGAGGGAAGAACATTAAAATGAGCTAACATAAATGCCCTCCGATGCTCAGAAATAGTCAAGCTAAACACACTGAGGAGAATATGACAAGCTGAGGTCATTAATATGTTGATGATGCCCGGCTCTATTTTTTCATGAAGGGGTAGTTAGTACCAAGTGCCAATACCACTAGTATCTTATTCCAGCTGGACCCAGCAAGACAGAAGCCTTTTTGGTTGAAGTGTGGAAAGTGAGTTAACTTGTTCTAAACACCCCATAGTCTGGACATTCCTCTGATCTCTATTTTGCTGTGTTACTGTCAGGTGGCAGCAATGTTCAAGAAGACATTCTATTAGCTTAACTTTCAAACTCAGACATAGCTACTCTCATGCTTTGATACCACTCATTTGGACTATCATATATTCTACATAGGGCTGCTCCTGAGACAACTCAGAAGCTGCAGCTGGTGCAGAATTTTGCCTAAGTGGGCCACTGAAAGCATTTTGCTTCTATTTCTTGTTTATTTGCTGGCTTCCAAGTCCAATTCAAGATGCTGGTCAACACCTTTTAAGGTGCTGAATTCTGCATATCTGAAGGAGTATCTTTCCACATACAATATTCCTTGACCACTGAAGTCAGAGGAGGTCTTTCTTCAGGTTGCTCCCTTTTCAAAAGTCTGGCTATAGAACTCCAAAAGATGACTTTTGGGGAGGTAATACAGCCAGCACAGTGCATAGAGTGTTAAACTAGGATCTGGGAGACCCAGACTCAACACCCCAATCTGCCATGAAGCTTTCTGGGTCAACGTGGGCCAGTCACTGTCACCATAACCCACCTCACAGAATTGTGAAAAAAACAGGAAAAGGAAAACCACATACACTTTCCTAAGATCCCTGGAGGGGAAGAACAGAACCAAAATTATGTAATTCATTTATACCCTGCCTTTTTTCCCAACAGGGATCCAAAGTGCCTATATCATTCTCCTCTACTCCATTTGACCTTCATAATAACTTCAGTGCAGGTCACGTACACAGTGTCTTGCATGAAATAAGAATGGTCAGTGCTTCTGACCAAGTGCCCAGCTACTCAAAGAGTTCCATACAAAACTACACAGCCAGCCTTCTCAAAGCAGATACTAAATCTGAATGATAGATGAGTTTTGCACTTCCATCAGGCAGAAAAAAAAAAAAGACTCTCCTGAACCCTGACAATTCCCCTTACTTGTCAGTGATGTCTTGCTTGGTGTACACATGAACTACGCCATTAACCATCTTCAATCCAAAGCCAAGGTCTCCAGGCATTGATTCAGGATCACACTTCTCATATGGATGTTGATCTGCGAATGGTGGGTGCACTGGAGCATCTGGAACAGGAAGTCACACCTTGGTTGAACCACCACATTTTATAGAACCATCTCTCTCTGATGACGTTGCCACATTCCCTCCCCCAGTTCCTTTGCATAAGAGGAGCCCCACTGGATGAGAGTAGTGGCCCTTCTGGTCCAGCATCCTGTCTCACATCCAGTACTTCTGGAGGTCCAACAACACAGCATAGAGGCTGAGGCCTTCCCCTGATGTTGCCTACTGGCACTGGGATTCAGAGGTTGACTGCCTTTTAATATGGAGGTTTCCTTTGCTGAGGCAATTGGAATTTTGCTCCAAGTAGCCACTGATAGACCTATCCTCCTATCATCCATGAATCTGTCTAATCCACTTTTAAAGCTGTCTATGCTTGTCACTATCTACGAATTCACTTCACAACCTCCTGGAGATGAGCCCAAGCAGACTATCAGAGTTTGCACAGACACATCCCCTTAAACTTCTGTAACTACCCAGCCTTTCCAACTCCAAGCCAGAGACAATGCATGGCTTGCTCACATGGCTGTCACTGGGTGTGAAACCACCTTCCTCTCATTTATTTATTTATTTTATTTATTTATAATTTGAATTTATAAACCATCCTCCCCTGAGTACACAGGGCTCAGGGCAGTGGACAACAAAGAGTAAAAACATTCAAAAATAATAAGACAATTTAAATGATACATAAATAATAAATAGATAAAATAGTCTCAGATGGCGCAACGTTCCAATTGTGTGTCTGCCTCGCCGGGGGTGGGTGGGGTAAGGGAAGCAGGGAAAATGGGGGGAAAGAGGATTCAATCTTCCTGCCAGACTTGCTAGTACATCCCTAGTGCATTAGCTGCCTCACAAGTAACCAGGAACTAATTTCAGCTTTCTTATTCCTCTACCATTTTACTGTCTCAGCCACAGGGAGATTTTGCCATTTATTGCCTCAAGTTGCTCTCTCACATTCAATCCCCACCTGCAGCCACTGGGGTCTCAGGGATCTCCTCATACATCCTCAGGGCCAAAGGCTTTTCTGAAAGGTTTTGTAGGAAGCGGGCTGTGGTCTTGCAGAAGCTTTGGAAAGAAAGCCCCATGTACTTCTCCCGAATGAACAGCGCCTTCACTACACTCTTAGCTGCATCCAACAAATCTGTGAAAGGCACCTGAAGGGCAGAGAAAAAACAACAACAAAACAGCTCTTTCTATCACACTACCACTATGGGCAGGCCTCCTAGATCATGGGGCAGAAGTGGAACCACTATGTATAAAAAGTAAAAAATGTATTAACACACAAAGAATAATGTTTTTAACAGAACAAATATAACATTCAGAGTTCATGTAAACTCACAACAGTGTCTGATGAAATGATGAAGCCCTTTTATTTTGGAGAACTTCTGGCCAGTCTCCAATCTTCCATTCTTGGGCAAGGTGCTAGAGAGGTTGTTGCCTCTCAGCTCCAGGCGTTCTTGGTAGAGACTGATTTTCTGGACCCATTTCAATCTGGCTTCAGGCCAGGATTTGGAACAGAGACTGCTTTGGTTGATGACGTCTATCAAGGACTAGATGGACTTCCGGGAAATATGGCAACCTAAAAAGGAGCCTTCTAAAGGCGCCAGTCCTATCTTGCTGTGGGGCGAACAATGCCATGGAAGGAGGGAACTAAAGTTTCTGCTTCAAATGTTACCCATATACATAGAAGAAAGAATAGTCAAAGAGTGGAAAAGACAGATAAACCAATTTATATGGAATGGCAAAAAACCAAGAATAAGCTTCAAAATACTACAAGAGGGGGAAAAGAGAGGAGGATTAGCAGTCCCAAATATAAAATTATATTACCAAGCAGCAAGTCTGGTCTGGATTGTGGACTGGATTAAAAACCCAAGATAAAGAATAGTAAAATTAGAATCAGCAGACCTTGACGAAGGCTTACAAAATTATTTGTGGACTGAGAAATCAGCTAAAAAGATCATAACACAGGAAAGAAGTCATGTAATCAGAGATGGACTTTTGAGAATATGGTTTACACACCAGAATTTATTAAGCCTCTCAAACTTTTTGCTTATTAGAAGCTTACTATGATAAGAACATGAGAAACAGAAATGATTTTTCTGTTTGATGATAAATAGGGGAAAATCAAGTCTAGGCAAAATATTAAAAAGAAGGTATAAACATTCAATGGCTGCTATATTATCAGTCTCAAGACTAAAGGAAATCATGAGCATTGAAGGTGGAATTCTAATAGATGCAGCTGAATTTGAACAGCTGATTATAAAACAAAAAGCTTCCAGTTGCTGTATCACCTTGCTTCCTCAATGTATCAAAGTAGTTGGTCTGATGTACATTAAGAACATAAAAGATGCTGTGTATTATTCAACAATACTGTAGCTGGGCGGTTTTGGTGTTCCACTTTTGAGGAAGCAAAATGATATGGGAACTGGAAGCTGGTGGGGCCATTAAGTGGATATACAAGCAGCAAGCTGAGTTAGTGTGAGCTAGCTCACAGGTTTTTAGCCTCTGGCTCACACATTTCTGTCTTAGCTCAGGAAGGATGGCTCCAGAGCAAACTAATTTATGCAGCAGCCAAATCTCCTGCTCAATATGTTAATACCAGTAGCTCACAGAGTAGAATTTTTGCTCACAGAGTTCCATATCTTAGAGCAGCATTGGCAGCAAGATGAGTTTTTTGAAGAGGAATTATAAGCATTTATATTTGGACTTTTCACTGAGGAATTTGACTTGGACTATTTCTGAAGGTGGATTAATAGGATTGTTTGTATATTTGGACCATGTATTTCTGACAATTATATTGTACTTTTGATAAACTACACTATTTATATAGGTTTAGATTATCATACTAATTGATCGTTGAATATTCTTCATTATTTATGCATTATTTATCTTTTGTATAAATTCCTTCTGTGCTTCTCTGCTGTTTGAATATGCAGTAATGGCAAAACAACCTACTTGAGAAACAAGTCTATTACGAAATCTGAGGAGAAATAGAGTGTGTATTAGGTGTACTATGCTAGCAGGAGACAAAGTACAAGTGAGAAGCAGTCTAAAATATTATATACAAGAGAATTAAAATCTGTTTTAAATGTAACATCTTGAATTCAAATGGGTTCTTGACATGAGCTATATAATATCCCTTCCTTCGCACCTTGATATACTTTTTATCTGTTAAAGGTTCTAATGAATACATAGTAGTGGTGAAGATATGTAATATTGAATACGTAGTAGTGATGGAACTAATGATGTAGTCAAAGCAAATTAGTTATGAAGTTTGAAACTTAAACTTAAACCGCGGAATACAATTGTATCTCAACAGAAGTAAGAACTATTGTATATTATAGATAATACCTTAAAATTATAACAAAAGGGGTTGTAAGGGAAAATATTTTCTGTCTTATAGATTCAGTATTACATGATTGTCCTTGACAAACACAGTTAGGCTGTATAACCCTCTTGTTTTCTTTCCCTTTTATTTTCTGTATCCCCACTGTCTTCCTATATAAATTTAAAAAAACATGGAGAAAAAGGGGAATATGACCCTGCTAGTTCTGCTGGATCTCTCAGCAGCATTTGCTACTATCAGCCATAATATCCTACCAAGCTGCCTTTTGGTGCTGGAACTACGAGGCATAATGTTATGTTGGTTCGAATCCTATCTGGGGTCTCAGAAGGTAGTGTTGGCCATTGGGGTTCTGCAAGGTTCCATCTTATCCACCATGCTACTTCATATCTATACGAAACCACTGAGAGAGGACATCAGGAGGTATGGGCTGCAGGGTCAGCAGTATGCAGACAATATCCAGCTGTTTCTTTTCCACCTAATTCCAAGAATACTGTTAAATGTTCTCAATGGATGCTTGGGAGTCGGTAATGGGATAGATGAGTTTAAACTTAATCCTGACAAGACAGAGATTCTCTGGATTAGTAATGCTCCCTCTAAGATGTGGAGTCTTGTGAGCAAAAATTCTACTTTGTGAGCTCCTGGCATTAAAGCTTTAAGCGAGCCATTTGGTTACTGCATAAATTAGTTTGCTCTGGAACCATCCTTCCTGAGCTAAGACAAAAATGTGTGAGCTGGAGGCTAAAAAACTGTGAGCTAGCTCACACTAACTCATCTTAGAGGGAACACTGCAGACCAGTGACTTGAGATCTCTCCTGTCTTGAATGGGGTTATACTCCCCTTGAAAAGCCAGGTTTATGGCTTAGGAGTGCTGCTTGACACAGCAATCACCTTAGAAAATTAGGCAGCTGCAGTGGCTCATGGTGCATTTGCCCAGCTTCAGTTAATGTATCAGCTGTGCCTGTTTCTGGTTCAGTCATATCTAGCCACAGTGATTCATACCTTAGTTCCATCTAGAATGGACTACTGAAATGCACTCTACTTGCGGCTATCCCAAAGAGTGTCTAGAAGCTGACGCTAGTGAAGAATGCTAGGGCTAAACTGTGGGTTGGAGCTAGCTACTGGAAGTGTGTAACCCCGATCCACTCCCAAACCCAGTATTAGCTTTGTTCTGTAAAGCCCTACATGGCTTGGATCTATGGTATCTGAAGGATTGTCTTCTCCCATACATTCCCACACAGGAATTGATGACAGAGAGAGGCCCTCCTCAGTGTTCCAGCAATCAAAGAAGCTCTTCTGGTGGGCACACAAGAGAAGGCCTTTTTGGTGGCAGCCCCAGTCCCATGATTATGGAACAATATCCCCAGGGAGGTGCTCCTGGCCCACCTCACTTTCAATCTTCAGGAGGTACTGTATTTAGGATTACATGTGACTAATTTAATTTTAACCAAGATTTAAAACTGTAGTCTTTTAGGTGTTGTTTTTTTAATCATTGTTGTTTTATTTGCATTGTAAGCTGCCCTGAGTTCTGCAAGGAAGAAAGCAGTTAATAAATGTTTTAAAAATACAAATAATAATAAATTTCAACTTATATAGAAAAGGACTTCAGATATATAGACAGCTCAAAATATAAAAGTCCACAGAAATTAGCCATGTAATGTGAAAAAGCCAAGGGCTCAGTCATTTTGCCTGTTCCAGGAGATCTTCATCAACAGTCAGTGTTCACTTAACGCTTCAGCATTCAATGTAAGACAAGAACAATAAAAGCCACACAGCTTCCCAGAGCTGGTTGAACAGGACCATATCACCAAGACTTACAAGACACATCCAGCAATGTTTATTATATGGCAAGACAGAGCTGGTGTAAAAATTAAACAATGCAGGCTCATTGTGATAAGGAAGGGGTATTTGCCCAAACATTGTAAAAAACAACAACCAGTTATATAAATTCTAAGACAAGAAAAATATTGTTGTTTGTGTAAGATTCATTTTGTAGGTTATTTGTAAAATACAGGACCAGAAAATAGAGCAAGTTAGATCCTACTGTTACCTAGGGATTTACTTCTCTGCATCCCATGGATTAATTAAACCTCTTAAAACTACCAGGTTAAAGAAGCAAAATCTGACAATCAGATAAAGAATGAGAATAAAAAAGTTCTGCCTCTTCTTAAATTACTAAATGCTAAACTGCTTCTCCAGATGCTCTAAGGCAGGAGGCATCAACCTTTTCTTTAATGAAAGCTACTTCTGTGCAGTGAAGAATATCCTATGAATATCTCCCCCTCCCCAGCAAGCTACCAAGTTTTGTTGTGTCCTAGAAACAGAACATGGACTGTGAAGAGCACCAGAAATGAAGCTAAGCAGCATAAAGGGAAATCCTATGAAATAAACAGTATTTTAAAAAGCCTAGAGCAGATCTTTTCATTATTTTTCCCTGGGTCTTTCAGGGCATTCATGAGCAGCTTTGTAGCAGTCAATGAGCTACCAGTGGCTCTGGAGACCCCAGCTCAATGGAGCTATCACCGAACTGCTGAATCAGACATGTAATCCTGAGATTAATTCTGGATGCCCCTAAAAATACCTGCATATTATTTAGATGTGAAACTGGGTTGTTGCCACTTGAGACGAAAGTACATATGCCTTCTTCATTATTGCATTCAAATACAGCTTACAGGGGGCAGCTAATTTTCTAAAATTTTGCTTTGACAGCAAATCCCCAAAAATTCTATAGAAGGAGTTCTGGTTCAGTGAAGACTGAATTCACATACGTGGATATTACCATGAAAACTGTGGTAGCTCCATTTGGCTAAGGCTCTATCTTTAAACTGAGCCTTAGCTCAGGATGGTTTTTTGTCCAGTAAGATATGATGAAATTGAAGGAAGACAATCCCAAGTTATTATATGGAAGTTATTTACTGCATCTTTCCAAACGTTCAGTTAGGAGAGTATCAACAATCTGTGAGTTTTAGCTGATGTCTTCTGAAGTTCTGGATTGATACTACAGGAAAACTCCATTCTGAGACATTATATATGTGGTGAAGGGCATATGGAGGATTGCCCATGTTACCAGCTATACTGTTCCATGTACAATGATAGAATACTAAAATGTTGTAACAAAGAAAATATTTCAGACAACTATTGATCCAATCAGAAGAAAATGGAATTTTTGTTAGTGAACAGATACAAATGTGTCTAACAGCACTGCTTCTTTTGCCATTAAGATCTCGTGTGGCACAGCAAAATTATCTAGGAATGTGATTGCTTACTTTTCTTATATTTATTTTTGAGTCTGAACGAACTCTATTCACCACAATGAATTACTAAGCACCTGGAATGCCTGGGCTTGTACATATGATACACTCTCTTTCTTGCTCTTTGTCCTCATACAGACTTAACTGAGCAAAGGTAAATTGGTAACATCTTGAAGATTTCC